AAGAAGGTGGTAGCAAGCCGAGCCGACAAGGGCCAAAAAGTGACAGGATCGTTGAGTGGTGTTGCGCACGGGCGCGATTCTCTAGTGTAGAGTACAACTACACGGGTGTCCAGCCAGAAAGGAACGAAGCGACTGGAGACCTCGCTAGTCGTACTCTCTTTGCTCTCAGTCCTCCTGCCTACACCTAATCAACCACCCACAGTTCTACCACTGCGCTCACCCAAGCACCGCACCGCACCCACCTCCCGGAGCAAAGTGTCCCAGTCCCAGTCCCGTCCCAGTTTCCCGTCCCCCGTTTCCCGACCACGCACGCAAACTGAAAGAGCCCCAACCCGCGACGCGACTTCACTGCGACTGAAGTGCCCTGCCCTGCCCTGCCTGCCCTGCTCCATCGCGACCAGCTTCTGCCGTGTCACTACACGCCCTATTCTCATCAATCCGTTCCTCGATAGGCCATGCTGGTGCCCTGGCAAATGCCTTGCTGACCCTTGACCCGAAAGGAAAACACGCGGTAACAGCTGATGGGTTCGACGGTGACCGTTCCGATTCCCACACCACTTGCCACTACTACTAACCGCCGCCGCCCACACCACCTCGACCACACGATTCATCACCACACCACCTACTACTCCCTCGTCCAGCTCCAGCTCCAACCATACCCGACATGAGCTCCTGGATGAACGATGCCGCAGTCCCGAACCACAATGGCAACGGCTACCCCCACCTCAATGTCAACGCCAACGTCAACCTCAACGACCCGGCCGCCATGACCAACAACATGGCCGCCGCCGGCGTCATCGACCCGGCCGCCTTCATGGCCGCTGCCAATCCCCAGGTCGCCGCTCAGTTTAACGTCAACCCGGGAACCACCATCAACCCCGCCCAGTTCGCGAACCCCCAGATGCTCGCCATGCAGAACGGCCCCATGCGCAATGCCTCGCCCGCCTTCAACAACGCCATGTACCAGACGAACCCCATCATCCCCTCCAAGCGCCCCCGGCCGAGAGAGGATAGCATAGGCCAGTCGCCGCGCCAGGCCCCCGGCATGATTCCGACCTCACGCGCCGGCACTCCCCAGCAGTCGCAGTTCCCCGGCTTTCAACAGCAGCCTGCCATGGGGCAGCCACCGACAGGGCAGCCGAATCCATATCCCCACCTGCAACCGAACGGCTCCGCGAATGCGACGCCCTCGCCCATAATGAGCAACCAGATGCGCCCCGGCAGCGTACCCCAACGAGTTGCCACGGCCTCACCACATCCCTTTTCGCCCGCCGCGCAACAGTTTCCGCAAAACTCGCCCATACCGTCCGACCACGGCGGCACGCCTCAGCCCAACTACATGCAGCAGAACTTTGCCCAATCTTTCAACCCCCAGTTCGCGCAAGCGCAACCGCCAGCACGACCGAGCCCGTCACCGAACCCCATGGCCAGCCAGATGATGCAGCAACAGATGGCTGGGATACCGCAACAGCTACAGATGCATGGGCAGCTACACGGTCAAATGGGCGGGCAAATACCGGGACAGATGGGCGGGCAGATGGGCGCACAAATGCCAGGACAGATGCCAGGGCAAATGGGAGGTCAAATGGGAGGCCAAATGGGAGGCCAAATGGGAGGCCAAATGGGAGGCCAAATGGGAGGCCAAATGGGAGGACAGATGCCGGGACAGATGCCGGGACAGATGGCGGGTCAGATGGCGGGTCAAATGGCGGGTCAAATACCTGGCCAGATGCCGAGTCAGATGGTCGGCCAGATGCCAGGACAAATGCCCGGGCAAATGCCCAGCCAGATGGCCGGACAGATGCAGGGCCAGATGTTCCCTCAACAGATGCAACAAATGCCCCAGCCCAGAAACGCCATGGAGCAGCAACGGCTGATGTATCAGATGCAACTTCAACGACAGGCAAACATGCAAATGCAACAACAGATGGTCGGCCAAAACATGATGCAACCACACAATGCGGCTCAAGCTCAGGCACAACATGCTCACGTTCAACAAGCTCAAGCTGAAGCGCGAGCTCAGGCGGCGCATCGGAACTTGATGGCTGCCAGAGGAGGACAGATGGTTCCCACGGGAATGCGCCCCCAGCAGGGGATGCCTCAACAACAGCAGCAGCAGCAGCACCCACAGCAGCAGCCCATGGGAAGGGGTGACCCCAATTCGTTCATCAAGAACTTGACGGCCTTCATGAACAGCAAGAACATGCCATTGGAGCTCAACCCGGTTGTTGAAGGTCGCCCAATCAACCTAGCCTCCCTGTTTCAGCTTGTATACCACAAGTTTGGAGGGTATCGCAACGTGACGCAGTCGAATGGTTGGCCGCAAATCACACAAATGCTCGGATATCCTGTCCACCAGGTACCTCATGCGCCGCAGCATATCAAGACTGTCTACGAACGGAATATCCTTAAGTTCGAAGAGGCATGGACGGCACAACAGCGGGCCAGGCAGGCCGGTGTTATGTCCACCCCGCAAAACATGCAACAAGCCCAGCCCATGAAGCCGATGCCACCAGGACAGATGCCGCCTAATCAGATGATGTCAGCTGGACCGCAGCCACCTATACAACCGGGTCAGATGCAGTCACCCATGAAACCCCCAGTTGCGCAACAACCGAATGTTAATGGCTTTCCTGGGGCGCACCCGGGGCAACAACAAGCGAATGCCGGCCCAATGGGCCACCCCCGTAATAGCCTTTCAAGAAGCTCACAACCTACGCCAACAGCAGAGGAGTTTCCCATGCCGTCGCCGGCCCACAGCAAGACTGGAAGCATGTCGATGCCAGGATCTGCCCACCCGGAGAATCAGATGATGCCAGGGCAGGGTATTGAGGCCGCGCCTGGATTCCCTAAACCAACGCGGGATCCGGAGCTCTACATTCCTTGTTCGAGAGAGGTCACCACATATGGCGGCGTGGATCTTGGCTCGGTAGAACATTTTGCGGAACAGTTAAGAAAGTTCAAGCCAGACGTTCCCCATCTTACCGATCTGGGGAATATTGACGTACATGCTCTAACCAAGAGCATCCAAAGTGGCATCCACGGCGAAGTGCGGCTTGCTTTGGATGTGCTTGGGACAGTATCAGCCACATCACCAGAAAGCGGCAAACAGGACCCTCCTCAACCGTATCTTCCCCTCGATCTGCGACACTGCGACGACTTGGTAGAAACACTGATAGAATGCGCCGAGGAGCAAGTTGATCTGCTAGCCGAGAACTCGGAAGAAGCTTCCGACGAGATCACCATCACCTCGTATGAAGATGTTGTTCGCGCCTGTCGCATCGAGAAATTTGCCCTCCGCAGCGTGCCCCTCTTTGGCTCTCAGGAGTACGAGCTCGACCAAGCCGCTGACAGGCTAATAGCCATCACCACCATCCTGCGCAACCTCTCTTTCCTTGAGGAGAACCAGGCCTGTCTCGCCGACGAGTCCGTCATTCGCTTCCTGTGCATGGCCATCCGCTACCTCGGCACGCGCGAGATGTTGCTCCGCACGCAGGTCAACACTCTGGACTTTATGAAAGACCTGGTCATTCTGCTCTCCAACATCACACGTTGCGTGGAGATGCCAGGGAGAGAACAAGCCTTTTGTCTGCTCCAATTCCTCCTTGCTTTCGCTCCCTCGCCCGCTCCAAGCATGTCCCCTTCACCCGACGGCAATGATTCTGACCCGGGAATACTCTTCTTCACGCCTTACGACCCCTCTCTTCACCCATACCTCCCACACGCAATCGACTCGCTCGCCAAACTCCTTGCCCGCGATGAGCCGAACAGGACGTACTACAAAACCATATTTGCCAGCGAATCCCCCTCACCAGGCCAAGTGTCGCCAGCAGACCTGCTGGTAACCCGCACCTTTGCCCTCGCCATCTCGCCTATCCCAGACCTTTCCGCCCCAAACACGCGTCCCGCGAACATCCCTTCTTTGATCGAAATCAGGAAGCCGTTCCTCATGCAAGGTCTCCTAGCAGCAGATATTCTGGCCTCCATCACCCCCGACGGGCCCGTCGGAGCTGGAGTCGGCGCCGACGCAGCCGAAAATGGACCAGTGGCTGCCAGCGGTGGGGTGAATGTTGCCAGAGTATGGCTCTCCAGCGGCAACGGCCTCGTGCAGAACCTCTTCTACTTGGTTCGCCAACTAAGCATGCAATACGAGTCCCAACCCGTCGGTCCCGTCAGGCCCACAGGACGCGGGGGCGCCAACCAGCAACATAACAAGCGGGATGCGGATCTGGTGTACATTGTCAGCTTGGCCGTTAGCATGCTGAGGAAGTTGGGGGAGAAGGCTGCGAAGGATTCATGGCCTTTGGGTAGTAGCAAATATCGGAATGGCGGAGCCATGGCGGATAGGATGGATGGCATAACAGAAGAAGAGGGAAGTGAATGGGAAGGAGGGGGCGGAGGATGGGAAAGGCAGAGGCAACAAGATGGCCTGCCGGCGTGTGCGGTATTGCCCGGTAAGGATACGTTGCTGGGAGCGCTGCAGATGGGCGCGGCGGAATGGGGAAAGGAGGGCATGTTGAAGGATTTGGTTGCTTTTTGTAATTTGGTAGAGTGACGGGTTTCTTATATTTTTTATCTTTTTTAGTCTTTGGGGAAGTCAATGAATGAACGGATGGGGTTTGCTTGGTAGACGTGATCCTTTATAAGGCGTTGTTGCATGCAGTGGCCGAGAGGTGGGAGGTGCATGATGCAGGAAGAAGAGGACGAGGCGTCGTGATGAAATTCGAAAGAATGAGATACGTGACATGAATACATAAGGAAAAGCGAGTGAAAAGCGAGTGAAGAGAACTTGAGCGCAGGACAGGGTGGGAATCAATGAAGAAGAACAGAGAGAGAAAAAAAGAATTCGTACATAATAGAGGAGTTCTGCCTTGCTTTGTCTGTCTGAAGAGCAGGCGGTTGTCAGGTTCGTTGTCAATAAATATTATGGCTTTGGATGGGATAGGCTGGTTATCTTGAGTTTTGCGAAAAGTCTTGGTTGATGAAGCAAGCAAAGATTCGAAGAGAGTAAAAGTGGTTGTATATCACTCGACCATCATGAACCTGTCGTGAACTGTACCCAATGTGGCAATGTCGTGTATTTTTAGATCGAGAACTCTCTCCCATGGAGCTTCGTCAAAAGTCTCCCCTAACCGTGCATATCCCCTTCCGCACATCTCGCCTAAGCTCATAGCTGGATAGCAAGATTCTTCGTCGTAGAGACAAATATCATTCGACCGCTCTTTGTAAATCCTTGAGCCGTTCCTTACAACCCGTTTAGTGATACATTGTCTCAACATGTGGTATATTCTTCCATCGTACACAAAACCCTCCTATTTACCCCTCGGTGGTCTCACTGTGTAGCCGAGGGCTCTCTATATATGTGACGACTCGGTAGTCCTCGTCCTGGGGCATGAAGCATCCAGCACCTCCCGGAATATGCCCCAGCATGCTCTCCAGTCCGTGGCATGGAGCAGCATGGTATCTTTCCCGGTAATGGGTCGGTCCTCGTCGTGTTATGTGGACTTGTGGCTGCAAGCTCTCCAGAGGTTTATCGCTGTAGCATCTTTCTCGTTTAAAAGCCCAAGCCGTCCAGGAACTTGACGATTTCCTCTCTGCGGTGTCCCTGTTTTTGTTGGTTGTCCGTTAGCATCGGTTCTTTCTGCTGCAAGTTTTACTCTCTTCCTGTTTTCCCCATCGCCCTGTTCTTTTCTCGCGTCTCTTCCTTTTGTCCATTGTCCCATGATCTTCAAACCTCTACCTCCCTCCTTGCCTCTCTTCCCGAACTTCCATCTCTTTCCCGATTTTTCTTTACATTCCCTCACTCCTGGTGTCATACTGCCTCGCACTCTCTCGCAAATAGCAGCAAACAGAAAATGCAAAAGCAAAGAACTCACATCAACCTCCAAATGCCCTGTCGGCACCTTCACCCGCACCTCCTTCACCTCCAGCCCCAAGAACTGCGCAAGGTCCCTGCGCAGAGCCTGGCCATCACCTTGCACCTTCTTGATCTGGGTGAGCTTCTTGTTACCACCGCGCTTGGCGAGGTGGTAGACGGGCAGGCGCTGGGTCCAGGCACGGCCTACTAGGTAGGGCTTGGCGACGGGTTTCGTCGATTCTGTTGGCGCGGCACCGGTCTGGGTCTGGATAGGGGTGGTGGGTTGTGTGGTGGGCTGCTGCTGCTGCTGGAGTGGTGTCGTTGTTGTGGCTGTTGTTGTTGGTTGCGATGCGGCGGCAGCGGCGGAGTAGAATCGGGACTGGAAGGCGGCGCGGACGGTGAGGGGCGTCGCGGGCTGGGCGATGGCCCGGGAGAGGCCGAGGAAGGTTGAGCGGAACATGGTTGTGGTGTTGTGTTGTGTGGTGTGGTGGTAAAGACAGAAAGAATTATGGCAAGGCTGTCGCGAAAGTTGGGGAGGTCGAATCGATCGAGCTGGGTTCGGTCGGTCGCAACGGGATCTGATAGGTAGGTAGGCTTGGCTGGGATCTGGAGTTCAGACTGGACCTGCGCTGCGGCCAAGAGGTCCCCGTTTCGGATCGCGTTCAATTGCTGGCTCGCTGGAGTCGGATCGGTCCCGCGTCCCGTGCCCTGGGCCGTGTTCCCTTCCTCTCGGCGCGGCGGGTCCGTCGTCGGGTTCTGGAAATTTGGTCGGTAATCGGCAGAATTATTGACCGCCCGGGCGTCCCCGCGTACGTGAGGTGCTCTGCCCGTCCGGCGGGATGTGCGCCGAACGAGAGGGATGAAACTGTGTGCCCAGGGCGTTCGCTGAAGCTCCAGGCCTTGCCGGGGTGCCTGATCTGGGCTCTACACTTACCCCTCCGTGGTGCCTAGACGGAAGTGGAAGTGGCACCGAACGCATTCAGCTGTGCCCTGCAATTGTTGTGCGACAGAGGCAGCATTGAACTGAATTCGATGGCCCGTGCTTTTTGTCACTGGTCAGTGGTGTCAAGCGCATTTTCCCAATTTTCGACCCCACCAAAGATTGACGGGCCACCACAACTGGACGGGGTCACAAAGAGAAATTTGGCGGATCGCATTTCGAAAGCGCCTGGCAACTGAACGAACGAACCTGGAGACCGGACACACCCTTTCCATCCATATTCCTCTTTCTTTCTTTCTGATAGTCGACCGACCCTCCCCCGGCCCTCTATCTTATCCCACCCACCGTAATACCCCCCCTCCCTCCTCTCCAGGCCTCGACTCGACCCGATCCCGACTTGACCTTGTCGCCGTCCACTCAGTGTCGTCTGTCATCACCACCAACTAACATCATCATCACCACCACCGTCCATACACAGTCACAGACACACACATCCAAACATGGCTTCCACATCCCCCGCCACCGTCAACGGCGACGTTGCGCCCGCCAACTATGACCTCGTCCTCAAGCTCGCTCCCCATCTCGACCGCCACATGATCTTCCCCCTCCTCGAGTTCAACGCCGGCCGCCTTAAGGAAGATGAGACCGACAAGGCTCGCGAGATCCTCGCCGCCAAGTACGCCCTCCTCAAGAAGACCAACATGACCGACTACGTCGCCAACCTCTACTGCGAGCTCGAGGGTCTTAAGGAGCCCCCCGCCGAGTACGCCGAGCGCCGCCAAAAGGTCTTCCACCAGCTCGAAAAGTACGAGCAGGAGACTGCCAAGATCACCGAGCTGCTGCAGCGTGACGATGTCGTTAACAACCTGCGCTCCGACAAGGTGGCCAACTTGGAGTTCTTGAAGAAGGAGCACGACGTACGTCTTACTTTTTGTTTCCATTAGCACATGTGGCTTGTGGTACATGGCTAACCCCCATATCCTGTGCAGGTCACCATCGACATGGTCAACGCCCTCTACGACTTTGGCCAGCTCCAGTACTCGTGCGGCAACTACGCCGACGCCTCGGAGCTCCTCTACCGCTTCCGCGTCCTCTCCACCGACAACGACAAGGTCTCGTACGCCACATGGGGTCGTCTCGCCTGCGAGATCCTCACCATGAACTGGGAATCCGCCATGGAGGAGCTGCAAAAGGTGCGCGAGAGCATCGACACCAGGCTCGCTAACAACCCCCTTGCTCAGCTGCAGCACCGCACCCAGCTCGTGCACTGGGCCCTCTTCCCCCTCTTCAACTACGACAAGGCCCGTGAGCCCCTCCTCGACCTCTTCTTCAACGCCGGCTTCATCAACACCATCCAGGCCAACTCGCCCTGGATCCTCCGCTATCTCACCGTCGCCGTCATCACCAACCGCGGCCGCGCTAAGAACGCCGGTGTCCACCAGAAGCAGATGAAGGACGTTGTTCGCATCGTCAAGCAGGAGGCCTACGAGTACCAGGACCCCATCACCCGCTTCGTCCACGCCTTGTGCATCGACTTTGACTTTGAGGAGGCCCAGCAACAGCTCGTGCTTGCCGAGGAGGTCCTCAGGAGCGACTTCTTCTTGCTCGCCCACGCCGATGACTTTGTCGACTCGGCCCGCCACCTCATCTTCGAGAGCTACTGCAAGATCCACGCCCGCATCTCGCTCAAGGACCTCAGCGCCCGCCTCGGCCTTAATAACGACGACGCCGAGAAGTGGATTGTCAACCTCATTCGCGACACCCGCCTCGATGCCAAGATTGACTACCAGGAGGGCACCGTTGTTATGAACCACCCCCCGAGCTCCGTGTACCAGCAGGTCATTGAGCGCACCAAGGGCGGTTTCTTCAGGACGCAGGTCTTGACTGCTGCTGTTGCCAGATAGGCGGGTGACAATAGCGGCAGTGGAGAACTGACTGATGGTGGCGGCAGAAGTATACCCGGGTCGACATGGCAGAAAAGCAAGGGCGATAAGAGGATTGCGAAGGAATGATTATGGCATGGGCTCGATCGCAACGCATGAAAGCGGCGACTGATTTCGTCGAATGTGAGACCGAGATTATCGCCAACGATTGGAACGCGGCGAACATCAAGTGGCCAGGCGAACTCAGTCGCTTCATGGCAGGCGAACTGCTTCAGCGTATGGGCTTCAACTTGACCAGGACGAGTCTCGGATAGATCCCCTCCCAGCATCTTTTATCCCATTGTAATGAGAGGATTTGAAAGTGGGAATCCAAAAAGGGTTAGCGATGCATTTCGAAGAATAGACCTTTTTTCTTCTTCTGTTTTCATCTGCCTCGATAGTCTTCTCTATCTGTCAGCGTTTGGCAATTGTCGCTATTTCTCGTGTGGGCATGGGCTCGGGCGGTAGAGGCAGCAAGGGAATTAGGACAATGGAAGGAGGCCTTTTACGTCATGACAACAACCGGTGTAATTATACCTCTTTAGTGTGTGTGTGTTTTCTTTTTACAGGCTTCTCATCAGGCGTATCAAAATGGTTATGGCTCATTGCTTTCAGATGGCTTATCAGGCGGGTTGCCTTTCCCATCCGTAACATCGTTCATCGCGTGGCACATTGGTCTCTGTCATAGCAACTGAGCTGTGGTGATCTACCAGCAACGGCTGCGGCAACCGAATTCTTGAGGTATGCGTCTTCCCTCCCTCCATACCTCCTTTGTATCGGCCATCTACGCTTCTTTTCACTCTTCTTCATTCCTCATTTTCGTCCCTTCCAGCCTGCCAATCAAGAAACAATACAAGACACATCGGTCAAGGTCTTGGCTTCTCTGGACTAACGGTAAAACCGAAACGGGAACGTCGACACTCTTCAAGCGTCGTTCAAGGATGTTCTCAAACAAGGTTGATAATCAGGTTTGGCCATATCGGCCGCTTTCAGAGCATCCAGTCGACATCCGGGTCTGCTTTCAGCCCTTCATCGTCCGTCGATAAATTCAAGGTGTAACAAGGTATCGAGACGATAGGTACTCCAGATGATTTCAAGATGGAGACCTTTTGAGAATTAACGTGCTACTTTCTTTTTCTGTAGAAAGTTCACCGGCTATGCGTGCACATCTACTCTGGGATCTTGTGCTCCTCAGATGGTACACCGGCTTTCCACTGGTACTTGGACGCAATGTGCTCCTCCAATGGATACTTCTGGCCTTGGGCACCATAGAAGTTCTCACGGTATGTTCCGCCGGGGACAGCGTAATCGTCCCAGAAGAGACCACGCTTCTTCAACTCGGGGAGCAAAAGATCGATTATATCCTGGAAAGATCCCGGGAAGAGGGCATATGCCTGAGCGTGCATTAGGTTTGGTACAGTCCATGGATATCTGGGACGGATCACTTACAAAGTTGAAGCCATCAACATCAGCCTCATTTATCCAGGCCTCAAGGCCATCAGCAACCTGCTCTGGTGTGCCAACAAGGATGGGACCGTTGCCACCGATGGAAACGTGCTCTGCAACGGTGTGCTTTGTCCACTTTGAGCCAGGCGGAGAGAACCTGGCGTAAGCCTCGACCGTCGACCTGAACCAAGGGCAGTTAACGCTCTGTTCATTTCACAATTCAACCGGGAGGAAACAAACTCACCTCACAGCATTACTCTCAACCTCTCTCAACTCCTCATCATCACCATATTTGCTCAAATCCATGCCCGTCCACCCACCAAAGAGCGCCAGCGCACCTTCCGTGCTCGCAAATTTCCTGTAATCAGCCAATTTCTCCTTCGCCTCCTCCTCGGTCCTGCCTAGAATCGGTGTAACCAAACTCAACACCTTGATCTTGCTCCCATCTCTTCCAAACTTTTCCCGGGCCAACTGCCTCACCTCGGCAATATTCTTCGCACAAACCTGCGGCGCGTGCGAGCTCACAAAGATGGCTTCGGCGTGCTGCGCAGCAAAGAGCTTGCCAGCTTTGGAGGTTCCAGCCTGCAACAGAAGCGGCACTCTCTGTGGCGTGGGCTGAACAATCGCGGGGCCGGGGACGGAGAAGAACTTGCCCTCGTGGTTGATCTGCCTCACGGCCTCCGGGTCGGTATACACTCCCCTCTCGCGATCCAGCACAACCGCGTCGTCCCGCCACGAAGAGGCAAAAAGCTTGTACATTACCCGCAAGTACTCCTCCGCCTGTTCGTAGCGCTCATCATGTGCCACCTGCTTTTCCCGTCCCGCAATGTTACGAGCGGCGCTGTCCAAGTAACTCGTCACAATGTTCCAGCCTAATCTGCCGTTGGTCAAGTGATCGACCGTCGCCAGGCGGCGGTGTAAATGATAGGGCGCTTCGTAGCTGGTGCTCACAGTGACGCCGAAACCGAGAGATTTTGTGGCGGCCGCCATGGCGGGGACTACCGACAAGGGCTCGTTGACGGGCCATTGCGCCCCGGAGACGATGGCAGGGGTGAGGGAATCACGATAGACATCGTAGCCACCGAGGACATCGGCGATGAAGATGCCGTGGAATCTGGCGGATTCGAGGAGCTTGGCGAGCTCGACCCAGTGTTGGACGGAAGTGAAATTGTGGGACTGGTCGGAGGGGTGGCGCCAGAGGCCCGGGGATTGATGGCCGGAGCCTGATGGCAGATGTCAGTGGATTGGTTTCATGGTCAAGCAGGTGGATGTGTGGATACAGGTCGTCGACGGCAAAGTGAAATTGAGGTCGTTGATTCGCTTCAGGCTCTTGTTGTTCGTTTTCAAAAGGGGGTCAAGTGGGCTGACCTCCGGAGTGGGTCATTGGACCGACTTACACATTTCGACGAAGGCATTGATGATGAGTTTCTTCTTGGGCCTGGTTTGCCCTGACCCGTCTGTTGGTCTGGACATGATTGCTGATGTGTCTCAGTGAATGCCCGGATTGTGAGAGTCTGTTCCACCTTGCGCTCAAGTGGTTGTCGATGCACGTCGTTGAAGTCAAGAGAACTGAGCCCGTTATCGCTAAGCGAACTGAAGGGGTCCGCAAAAGGGGTTTGTTGACTTTTGCCCCGATTTGAACGAAACCAAACGATCAATGACGACGACGACCAAGGCGATTCGCCATTATAAGGGGCACCCAGACTGCTTTACCAAGACGCTATCAATCACTCAAAGATGTCAAAGAGTGTCGTGATGGTCGATACTGCTACCGCGTTGCCGAGTTCGTCACTGGTGCCGTGCTCGGAAACGACTGCCCGCAATTGCGTGATTGACGCGGGGATGGTGCTCATCAGCAACCGCAGCTACCCCGACCTCTCGCCCAAGTGCTTCATTGTTCCTGACACTACAGCCCGCCCTAACTCATGGCCAACACCATCATGTACATCTAAACCCACTGCGGAGATAGCATGTTTGTACTGATATCCGAGGGATTGGCGCCACCGACGGGACATTGACAGCCATCGCCGCGTTCCCTCCTTTGCGCTTGCACAGCATCGCCGAGCACAGGACACCCTGTAGTCTGCAGTCCACATCGCATGCGACTGGTTGCACCTGCTCCCGATTATCCGTACCCGTTCTATCGTTGGCGAGCAAGAGTGGGGGTCCATGGTCCCTCCCACCTCTATACCAGAGTGAGACTGGATGAGCTGCAGAGAGCTACCATGGTGGGCAACAACAGGACGTGGTGATTGTCCAACGGCAGGACAGCCTTTGGCTCTCCCCAGGGGATACACATATCGCTCAATTGAGTCGAATCCGACCGAGATGGCGCAATCCAACGCTCAGCCGGATTGTCAGGCACTTGACAGAGATCATCCGGAGTGTGTGTCGCGAATTCGATTTGGTCAAGCGGTGCTTAGTTCCCTTCTGGAAGAACATGCGAAGTTTCCCTTGACTTCAGAAGGTTTATATATTCGTTACTTTCGACCGTTGATGTTGTTTGCTAGAGTACAGCCAGTTAACAAGCCAGAAACAACGAGCCTGAAGTCACCCAAGTACCAGTCTTGTACTTCGACGCACTACTTGAACACCGCTCGATTGCTAGAGGTACACTTCGATCCTGGATGACGCAAGCATCTCATACGGCAATTTGAGCAACATCATGTCTTTCATCAAACGTTTGTCACTGAAGAAGCTCCGCAAAAACAGTTCGTCACCTACGAAGAACAGCCAGCTGCCACAAGTACAATACGTTGAACTGCAAGAACAACTACGGGAAGACAACATTCTCATCGGCAGCGGTAACCACAGCACCAGTTCTACCGACATGGAGCCTCTACCAGCGCCAGAGAAGCAAACAGTGCTCTTGCTGCACGCGGCAAAGCAACCATACCAGCTGACAGAGGATTATCCCGTCCCACGAGTAGAGGGGGAGCATGATGTTCTTGTGAGGACACAGACCATTGGACTTAATCCCATTGATTGGAAGGCACCGTCAGTTTCTCACAACGTCCCATGTTTGGGGGGAGTTAACTGCTAACATTCATAAAGTGACTTCAACTTTGCCATTCCGGAATTACCATACATCTCTGGTCGTGAGTTGGCAGGTGAAGTTGTTCAGACATCCAGGAAAGATTCCAGGTTAAAGCCAAGGGATCGAGTAGGTCACTTTCATATCAGCTCACCTGTCACTTCCCTTCATCTTACCTCTTCTCACTTCCGCCCCTTCCCACTTTATCTCATGCCACTTGACACCTCCATCAGGCAGCTAATAACCCCAGGTCCTCGCCATCTCCACCGATTACCGCGACCTCCGCAAAGCTGCCTACCAGCAATACGTCATCTCCTTCGACTACAACACCGTCCGCATCCCACCCTCCCTTTCCCTCGAGGAGGGTTCTACTCTCGGCGTGGCCTTCGTCGCCGCCGCCCTTTCCCTAGGCGTGTGCATGGGTGTCGACTTCTCTTCTATCCTCTCCGGTCCCGATCTCTTCTCCCTCCTCCGCTCATCCGTTTCCCCCGGGTCTCTAGCAGAAGACATCTGCTCTGAATGCCTGGACGGAATTTGTTCTCATGAGAGAGCCAGAGCCGGGGATTGGGTTGCCGTTTGGGGTGGAAGCTCGACGAGTGCCAACCTGACGATCCAGTTAGCGAAGCTCGCCGGACTGAAGGTTGTTACTATCGTTGATAAGGCTAAGCACGGCTTGAGGTTGAGTAACCATGAAGTACTCAAGGCCGACCTGCTGGTGGACAGCCACGACCCTGAAAGGGCGGTGCAGATCATCCGCCAGAATTTGAAGGGCAAACTTCGCTTTGGCGTGGACACCCGCGGTCGGGAATCTGCTACTTCGCTGCTTCACGCCCTTTCTCCCGATAACATCGACTCTCCTCCTCTACCAGCTGGCGAGAAACCACCATCCCCGCCTGGCACACCTAAGGAGGAGACCCTCCTGGGCGCGCACCTGATTGGTCTTACCGGCCTGCCTAAGCAGCAAGCACCTGAGGGAACGATGTTCCATACGGTACCAATCAAGTTGTTTCACGAAGTTCCAGAGGTGGGCGGAGCGTTGTGTCAATGGTTGGAGAGGTTGTTGGCTGAGGGGTTGGTGAAGGCGCCAGAGATCATCGATGTTGTGCAGGGGCTCGGTAGTATCAATAGGGGGCTGGATAGAATGAGAAAGGGGGAGATTAGTGGTGGGAAACTGGTTGTCAGGGTTGCTGAATAGGCTAGGGAGGATGTGATCTGAGTGTAAGCTGATAGTAACTGTCGAGGTTGAAGCGATTTTACTTTCCATCATCTTGGACACCATTTTCTATACGATTTAGCCAGAGATACTGGTCCTTTTGTGTTTGCCATTCGATTCCCTTGAGGTTTTCTTCCGGTTGAAGTGTCGTGGGTACCTCTAGGCATGTCACTCCCGTGTACCCGGATCCTTGACTTCCACTTCCAGTCTCTTGTGTCCGTGAGATACAGTAGTTGGATGGAACCTGCTTCTACCTAGTAGGTAATTTCAAGCCCCAAAAGCTGCGTAAATACCCGGTTTGTACCTGCAAACGTTGCAACGGCAGACTCAACATGGAGGTAATCAATGACTTTTTCAGGTTGTAACTGGAACTAAACTGCCTGATATTACCTTCATGCGAACATAGATCCTTAGAGGTAACTTTCGTCATCCCCTCTTTTACGCCTTGATCGTATTCTCATTGCCGGCCTCATCTCCCGAGCTTGTTGCCGAACTAATCGCGCCCTTCTCTTTCACTCGTTCGACACTTGCCGAATATGATTCATCGCCCGCCAACGGCCCATGAACGCCAAAGTGTCTAAGCAGATGCCAAGTGGGGTAAATAGCCACCGCCCATATGACAAAGCTCATGTACACGCCGCCAGTCGCAGTAAACATAGTCAAAGACTCCAGTCCATAGCTGAGGGCCTGCCAAGCGGACTCGGTACCGCGGAGAAGGGCAGCATAGCGGATGATCTCCTCATCGCTCTCGGCGATGTTGTGGACGATGAAGTATCTATGCGGGTGTTAGTGTACATCAATCACAACGTCAACAAGAACTTGGCTGGAAGAAAAACTCACGAAAACAGATAATTGAGCTGAAAGCTGACGGCTAAAAAGATAAACACCCCAAACGCCGCTCCAAGTCCGGGCGTCGTCCAATCATAAGTCGGCTTTGTCTCCTTGAACCTCGTTACCAACACCGTCGCCCACGTCCACCATGCACCCTGAAAGATCACCAGCGTCCAGAAGGCCACTCTGCTCCTGATCTTCAGCGAGATGCTACCCCGATCAAGCCAGTAGCCCAAGATGTTTCCGCCAATGACAGGAACAATGCCCGACATCAGCGATCCCAGAGCTCGCGAACGGACTGAAAACCACATGGCCAGGTAGGTGAAGAAGACGGACTCCGAGAAGACGGCATTGCCAATCCAGAGAAGAAGGAGGAGAAACTTTTTGGTGAAGAAGAGTTTGGTGGTGGCTTTGATCTCCTTCCATGGATTTTGGGTGATGGTCAAGTCCACTTTCTTGCCATCCTTTCGTTCTACCCTGTCAGGACTATTGAGCAAGAAGCCAATGAAGGGGCCAGCAGCTTGAATGGCGATGAATACCAGGAACACCGTGTATGAGACCTGTCCGGCTTGGTCATTGTTGGCGTTGAGACCGAGATTGATGGCACCGCCCAGCATCTGAGCGAAGAGCTTGAAGGAGAGCCAGTAACCCAAAGCTTTCCCTCTGTTCCAAGGCTCAGGGTAGGCAATGGCGATGGATGCTTCGGCGGCCCAGAAGACGCCAGCCGAGATACCGCAGAGGGCGGCACCGAGGAGGACAAACCATTCGTTTCCGTAGCGGTTGTTGGTGTAGAGACCGGCGGCAAAGGGGGCGTAACCGATGCTGTGATGAGTGCCTGTGTTAGTAGATCGAGAGTGATGGGCGGTGGTGGGGAGAATTTTTGAAGGGACATGCCAGCCAAAGATCAAAGCGCCCTTGACACCAACAAAGTACATCAACGCACTGGACAGGTAGCTGGAGAGGACCATGAGACTGAAAGTAATGGCGTTGGCGGCGTTGATGAGATTAGGAGAAGCGGCTCCGCCGGCGCCGAGTGAGTTCATGGCGGACCAGATGCCGGGGCATGCGAAACTGCAGACACCGACGATGGTGACGTTGAACATTGATGAACGGTACCATTTTACTGTAAGGTAGAGTCAATGTTCCGTTCCCATTGATGTCGAAGAGACAAAAGGATGGAGCTTCAACTGGACAATGGACATACCTGGATGTTGCTGGTCTTTTGGTGGTTCGACTTCACTTGTGTGCGTATCCCGGTGTGGCAAGCCGGAGGGGAACTCCTCCGGGAGACCGTTCTGGGAGGACACCACATGCATCTTGTCAACGTTGTGTAGGTAGGTATCTGGTCGGACTACTGTTTGAAGTCTGTTCTTTAGAGGTGACACAAGATTAGGACGAAAGCTTCAACCAATGCTGTAAAGACAAAAGCCGAGGTATAGAGGTAGGTAGCTTGTTATGTGAAATGTGACATCACAATGAAGTATTTATCCCTTCCCTCTATCACTTCTCTAGCTCTACTTCTTTTCCTCGACTGCCGTATAATGCATGCAAGAAAATCGTGCCCGTCCATGTTGCATCACCAACAATGAGCTACAATCCCACTCTGATTGTGAATTATGGACTTCACGTTGCAGACCACTGAAAGTCCAGGGTCTGGTTGATGTTACAGCTTATCATAGTTCGTCTGGGTCTGTCTCCGTGGAATCGGAGAGGCCAGCTCGCCAAGATGTGTGGCTCGCAATCGTAGACGGTGCCAATCCAGCCGAGAAGGATTGGTCAACCGTGTTGCAAAGATGCCGCGGGAGCACGCAATAGCGATTCAGCTTTATCAGGGTGAGGACCAGTACCCTTTGGCCTCTTTCACCATGAGACTGGGTCAAAAACGTGCTTGAGTGCCTCGAATATCGTGGATTGCGGGATTTCGATTGTGATTTGCAGATAGGATTCCGCATTTGGTGGAAGCGATGTGTGATGGTGTTATTGTTGGCGGTCGTGAGCTTATCTGGACCCTGATGTGAAATTCGAGACTGTATACCTGGATCAAAGGATGTCTTGTCCGCGGAACAGCTTGCTCGGCTTCTACAGAAACATCTCGACGGCGCTAAATGCATGCATATGTCGAACGGCAAGGATTGCGGAAGTGGTCGAGCTGTTGGTGGGGGTCATAATGTTGTCTAGACCGGACGTGAGTGCTGGCTGTTTTCACCCTTGGGACGCCATTTCTCCGAGACCAAGACTCATTGGATGCAGCAAGAAGCTGGTCTACCTCCGTACCGTATCTGCCTGATCATCATGTGCACTTGCTCATCTTGGAGCTTTAAACTTCGAGACTGTGAAGCCCTAGGAAGCTGTACAACTCCACTCAGATTGCATCCGCGGCCATTCCCTTGTTCTCCAAACGCCTAGAAAGTTGAAGATTGTTTCATCGTCAAAGGAACCCAAAGACACCGGTATTACAGACAATCAGGGCAAATTCCACCAACTCTCATGTACATCCCTCAACTCCACCTTCTCCCCCGGACTCCTCAAATAAGGTGTCATATCCGACTGCGGATCCGCCTCCCTGCTCGTCCACCCATTGCCCAAGTACCACTGAAACCTATTACCTGTCTCCCCAAGATACTCATACTCCCAATCCTCCCACCTGGGATGCTGTCTTACCACCGTCAAGTGCCCCGCTAACCCGGGCCAAATACCATGAATCCTCGCCCCCGGCCTGCCGCCGTTGTACCAAGAGCTGCAGTTATCAGTCAACACCGTAGAAGAGAAGAAGGCATCCGAGTACTCGACAAAGTCATCCGCTGCTTTTCTGGAAGGGACAATGCTCTTGATGCCTTCCCTTCCCACCTTCCGTAGAATCTTTGCCAGCAGCGTAAGCTGTGTCTCGGCGCTATGTGGGACAGTCCCGCTCGGTCCCGTGCCGTGCGGTCCCTGCAGGAAGAACAGGTTCGGAAACCCGGGCGTGGCCACGCCGAGGTAAGTGTAGGGGAAGCCGTGGTGCTTGTCGCTCTTGCCCTTGAGCTCGGGATTCCACGCATCCTGGAGGTTCTTGCCCTTGGCAACGACGGGGAAGGGGATGACCTGCGAGACGTTGGCGCCCGTGGCGCAGAAGATGGCATCCACCTTCCGCTCCTTGCCGTCCTCAGTTTCGATGCCGGTTTCAGTAAAACGGCGGATGCGCGTGCGGATGTACTCCACGTTGGGCTCGGAGATGGCTTCGAGGTAACCGGGACCAGGCGTCAAGCGGCGGCAGTTGGGTGAAAAGTCGGGCACAATGTGCTCGATTAGCTCCGGCTTCTTGGCAAGACGCTTGTGCATGATTTGCGTGAAACGCTCACGCAGTTCAGTGCTGTCTTTGCTACCGCGGAAGAAAGCGTTGAAACGGCGCCAGTATTTGTCTTCCATTTCCTTGCGGAAGTTGAGGTAGGCGTCTGGATCAGACTTGAAGAGAGCAATTTGCTCGTCTGAGTAGGGCTGAGGCCCGGCCTGCCGAACGTCGCCCGCCCAGGAGGCCGCGATCCAGGTCGGGTTGCGGACGTAGTGGTCCAGCCGGGCAACCGAAGGTTGGAGGTTTGAGACGAGCTGGATACCGCTGGCGCCGTTACCAATGACAGCTACAGCCTTGCCAGATGGGTCGAAAGACGGGTCCCAATGTGAGGCATGTCGGAGGACGCCCTTGTAGCCGGCGATACCGGGGTAGCTGGGAAGCTTCCAGGCGTTGAAGCGGCCGATGGCAGTGATAACGCTGTCCGCCTTTTCGGTGCTTGTCACCCCGGTTTGAAGGTTCTTGATGGTTACTTCCCAGACGGACTCGGATTCTTTCCAGTTGAGGCCTTCGACCTTGGTATGGAAGCGTGCATATTGGTATACATTGTGCTTCTTTGCTACGCTTTGCCAGTAGTCCCGAATCTCGGCACCGCCAGCGAACTGATCGCTCCAGTCAAGCTTGGGCTCAAAAGTTGACTGGTAGACGTGGGAGGGGATGTCACATCGGACTCCGGGGTAAACATTTTCGAGCCAAGTACCTCCCTGGTCATGTGTAAGCTGAGAAGCTCAGTGATGGGGAAGGAGAGCTGAGGGTTTACTCACAAAGTCGTGGTTCTTCTCATAGATGGTCAACTTGATGTTGGGGACCTTGGCCGGAAGCAAAACACCCGCAAGAACACCTGAAAGACCACCACCAATAACAGCAACCCGGAGTTCTCGTGGTTGGTCAATGAACCTGTTCACGATACTGATGCGAGATTTTGGGTATCCTGGATGTGGCTCAAACGGGACGAAACTGTACTGAGGTTGAGAGCTGACTGAAGTCTCTGGGGTACCCGGCGCGCTGGGCTCACTGGTAATTTCCTCTTCTGACACTGAAAGTTCACCCAGATTGTCGACCACGGTTACGACCTCGCCGTTCACGTTCGCTTCTGTTGTTGTTCTCGCCATTGTGAATGTGAGTAATGTGGATGTCGAACCTTCTCTTTCTCCGCAAAGAAACGAACAAAGCACAACGACACGGACACAACGATTCAACGAAGTATAAGGTATGTGAGTGTCCTGACTCCACGCGACATTCTAATCCATATCACGACCTTACACCATGCGGCAGCATCACATCATCGACACTGCTTCATCGCCATCACTCCCCCTCTTCTGAGTCTCTTGCCCAAACTGGCGCGTTATCGCCATGCATTGTTTCTGGTAGTACCGTATCCGCGGTGTATCGTTCCATCCCATGCCATTTCTGGAGGTTCCCCCAAAAGCACGTCAAGCCTTCGTAGCATAACACCATGTGCGGGGTCGATGGTCGGCAAAGATGACTTGCTGCCGTGTTCTTGCCAATCTGGGCTTCTGGGTGTGTGAAACCCCCATTGATTGCTCCTCCGATGACCGGTGGTCGTGGTAGTCTCGGGTTGCTGAACCAGGGCTGAAAGGATGCTGATCGCGTCTTGGGCGTGTCTGAGGTGAGATGGAGGTTGGATGACGCCATCTTGGTACCTTGGGGCTGGTGTTAGCGAAGGTGATGGGGACCCACTTGGTCTTATCTTGATTGATGTTGCTGGATAGGTAAGGTGTCATTTGTTAGCAGCTTTCTTTGGATTCGACAAAAGGAAACGAAAGAAAATTGGCTGGACTCAAAGTTGCCCAGTGGTATCCTTTCCATGCGGGGTTGTTTGTACTGCGATAATCATCAGAATGGCGATAACAAAGGCGAGTGTCCACGGTAAGTGTGAGGGAAAGAAAGTCGGAGGGGACGCTTCGGGCAACCCTAACCCGGACCCCCACCCTACTCTTCTCCGGGGGTTGGAACGTCCCGGCCCCGTCAACTACACTGACGACCATTGTTCCTTCAGCCACTCTCAAATGGGCATTGATAACGGTGCTGCTTTACCACTACAGTAGCAGGTGTCCAGTCATGTACGTGATATGTTCCTTCCTCCAAACTGAATACGTGATGATGACTAGCGCTTGCGACATCCCACGCTTCAACCTGCAAATCCCGTACTTTGCTGTTTCTGTTTCTTGGCTTTGGGCGACATGGAGACACTCGAGCGGTAACGAGCAGTTCGGGAATGTGCAAGTCACGAGATCTTACTAGTGTCTTCGGAGGTTCGTCTCTGTAAGGCTAGCGAATGGAAGTACCAGCTCGGCACAATCCACGTGGCTGGCCCTGATCTGAATTGAGGACGACCATGTCTTATACGAAACAGTTCCTTTTATGCCACAATTGCTTGGTCTTTGCACAGTCCAGCTTGTCGTACTGGGCGTACGCCAGTTTCAGGTCGAGGCTGCACACCATCCGTCATGTCAGGGTCCCAGGGTGGTCCGTCCTTCGGTGAATACCCGATGTTATAGTGTTATCGACCTGCGTGGCGGGAACACTTGGCGTCTCGTAGACAGGTAAGTCTTGATGTATGGCTCTGTCGCAAAGGCATGTTTAAAAAGAAGTACCTCCAGCCTTGTTGATGTCCTTGTGCTAACTCGTTCCGCTTTTGAAGGTGATCAAGTCGCTCTTCCCGTCTGTCCTGCCTCGACATCAGAGTTCGGAAAGAGCTTGACCTAGCGCAACCAGACAATGGCGGTCCACCACCAATTCGGCACCGTCAAGCGGAAATGGTATCACATCAAATGGTTCGCTGACAGCGACACTCCTCGCGAGCGGCGCCTCATCATGAAGCTCGACCTGCTCATCGTCCCATACGCCTTCCTTGCCTACTGGATCAAGTACATTGACCAGGCCAATCTCAGTGCGTTCTTCCTGCCTTCCTTCAATCTCTTCTCCAGCCCATGAAGGACAGTCCAGCTAACACCAAGATATTTCCTCTCACAGACAACGCCTACGTGGCCGGCCTCAAAGAAGACCTCGGTTTCCACGGTAACGAGCTCGTCCAGCTGCAAACGCTCTACACCGTCGGCGCCGTCGTCGGCCAAATCCCCTTCATGTTCCTCTTCACCTACTTGCCCATGCACTGGACCATCCCCTTCCTCGACATTGCCTGGGGCTTTTTTACCTTGGCCCAATACCGCGCCAACTCCTTTGGCCAGATGGCCGCCTATCGGTTCTTGATCGGCTGGTTCGAAGCCGCCTTCTACCCTGCTATCCATTACATCTTTGGGAGCTGGTATCGCGGGGATGAGATTAGCAGGAGGGGAGGCGTGTTTTATACCGGGTTGACGCTGGGGACGTTGACTGCGGGATTGATCCAGTCCGGGGTGTCATCGAGGTTGGAGGGTGTAAACGGACTGGCGGGGTGGCGGTGGATGTACATCATTTGCGCGCTCGTCACCATTCCCGTGGGAATTTTGGGGTACTTCATTTTACCTGGCACGCCGGAGAATCCAAACACGTGGCTCTTGAAGGACGAGGACGTGCAGATTGCGAAGGAGAGATTAGCGAGAGTGGGACATTCGGTCGTACATCCAAAGTTCAAACTTGGCACGCTCAAAAGTCTAGCGAACAACTGGAAGTTTTGGGCGTTGCTGATGCTGGACATCTTCTTCTGGAACGGGAGCTTGAACTACTCGGCTGGAGGCTACTTGCTGTGGCTGAAGAGCCTGGGACGGTACAGCCAGTCCAAGGTCAACGAGCTGGGTACCATCAGTCCCGCAATTGGCATCTTTTATGTCTTGTTGATCTGCTTCATCTCGGACTTGGTGGTTGGCCCGGCGTGGGCGATCACGATTGCTCATGTCTGGAACATCATCGGCCTCGTCATTCTGGTCATGTGGAAAGTTCCCGAGTCGGCGCTGTGGTTCGCCTTCATGACGACGTACTCGTCCGTGGCCATGTCGGCGGTGTTATACGGATGGATTAATGCCATTTTGGGGAAGTCATCGGCCGAAAGGTCGTTTGCCATAGTGTTGCTGAACACAGTTGCGCAGAGCACGACCGCCTGGACGCAGCTTTTGACGTTTCCGACTAAGGAGGCACCCCAGTTCAAGAAGGGGTACTCGTTTGTCTTGGCGAATGCCGTTTGCTTGATTATTACGGCTCAGTTCTTGAATGTTGCTCTCAAGAGATCAAAGTGAGTTGTTGCCAATGGACGTTGAGGGCCAGGCTGACAGGTTTTAATAGTAAACCCACGGTTGATACTGAGCAGAACGCGGAAACTGAAATCACTGCGGCTTTAAATTCGGAGAAGAGACAAGAGGAGGTGAATGTGACTTCGGAAAAGTGTGGTTAGAACACATTGGAGAAGCCAGAGCTTTGTGGCAGTAACCCGCAAAGTTGACAGAGAATGATACGGAGACTTCAGCGATTTGGCTGTCGATGGATAAACAGAAGCACGATCGTGAACCTCCTTGGGTTGACCTGTCCAATGACATCAATCTCTGTCCGTAAGACTGTAAGACGAAGCGCGGGATCCGTAGATGGTTCGTCTTGACCAAACCGATGACATGACAAGCGTGGCATCCAGGGGTGGTGATCTGATGCAATACCTCCAGTACCATCTGCATGGCACCATCTAACCCTTGATGACAACATGCACCCCCGCACGGGACTGTGACCGAGGGACCGGTGCCGCGATGTCGACATCCCGCTGTGATCGCGGCAATAAGAGCGTGAGCAAGGGTTGGGCCTGGTATATGAAGGGTCTGAACCCTCCAAAGAGCTGAGCCCTCAACGGACGACAGCTGTTGACATCAAAGTGTCAGCATCATCCTTCAACGCGGTCAAAGTCATCCTCACCTAACTTTAAACTTTCCACACTTTTGTCATCATTGAAACCCACACTCACAGCCGCATCACAACCCCCCAACATGACCAACACACACGAACCCCCTACGGCCACTGGCACCATCCAGATCCCGAAGAAACAAATCCTCCTCAACGCCTTCGACATGTTCACCCCCGGCCATCTCTCACCAGGACAATGGAAGAACCCGTCTGACCGATCCATCACCAAGTTCGAGTCGCTTGACTACTGGATCAACCTGGCCAAACTCTTGGAAAAGGGAGGCATCAACGCGTTGTTCCTGGCGGATACGTATGGCGGGTATGATACGTACGAGGGTAGCTTGGATGAGTGCGTGAGGAGGGGGGCGCAGTGGCCGGTGGGGGATCCTATCATTGTAAGTCGTTTCTTTTACAAACCATATTTGTTGATGGGGAAGTGGAAGTCCATGGAAGGGAAGAAGGGGGTTCAGAGTGGAGGAAGAGTGAAGAATCGTAGACGTAACGAAAAGAAGGAAATAATGGTGAGGAAGATCCGCCAACATCGGATGACAGCCGTCAACAGTCAAAGGACGGGAAGGCACGCATCCAGTCGAGCCCCCAACCTAACCTAAGGCACCAGCACCCTCGCTTCGTCCAGGTCCCTTATAGGATCCCGTCCCAAGTAGATTCCCCAACAACAACCAACGGGTAGTTGGTCGAGCGGCAGCTGGTATTACGCACCCGTAATACCCATATTGATTCCCGCTCCAAACGCCACGGGTTCGAGTCCTTGTGGTGGCAGGTTTCGACACAACTATTGCTCGGGCACACCTGTAGTCTATATGACTGCAACATATCGTCTACCTGGGCTGACGAGGTCGAGCTGTGACCGATGAGGGGATGCCTTCGGGTATCATTGACCAACTACCAATATTTTTTTCATTCTTTTTTTTGTTCATGTTCCTTTTTTGTTTTTTTCGTCGTGGTGCCGCGGCCATATCAAACGTGGATATTGCAACATGGATGTATTTTCCTTCGACAAAAAGACACCGCTAACAGCAGTCCTGAACAGCCCATTTCCGCAATGGCGGCCGTTACGAAAAACCTCGCCTTTGGTATCACGGCTTCCACTTCCTTCGAGCCTGCCTTCTTGCTGGCGAAGCGGTTTTCGACGCTTGATCATTTGACCAAAGGCCGAATTGGTTGGAACATCGTGACGAGTTGGAAGAAGAGCGCGTTCAAGGCTATCGGGCTCGACAACCCCATCGAACATGACCAGCGGTACGAGCAGGCTGACGAGTACTTGAGGGTGTTGTACAAGTACGTTGCCCCTTTTCTCTGTCCTCTTACTCTTTCTCTTCCCCTCGATACTGGATGCCTTTACTGACGCACCTGCCCAACTTTAGACTCTGGAACGCCTCCTGGACCCCCTCCGCCATCCAACTCTCCCCATCCTCTGACATCTACAGTGACCCCTCCCAAGTCCGGCAAATCAACCATTCCGGAAAATACTTCCAACTGTCCACCCCGCACATCGTCCCGCCCTCCCCGCAACGCACCCCCTTCCTCTTCCAAGCTGGCACCTCCTCAGCGGGCTCCGAGTTCGCGACAACTCACGCAGAGGCAGTCTTTGTATCTTCCCATTCTCCCTCGGTCTTGGCACCCAAAGTCCAAAAACTGAGAGAGTTGGCGCGACAAAAAGGTCGCGATCCTGCTAGTTTAAAGGTGTTCGCGACCTTTACTCCCATTGTTGGCCGCACGGAAGAGGAGGCACAGGCCAAGTACGAAGAAGCGCGCAAAAATGCCAGTGTCATTGGTGGATTGGTTCTCTTTGCTGGATGGACGGGTATTGATATTAGTCAGTTTGAGGATCTGGATCAGGAGATTTCGGCGTCGGATTCCAAGGAGAAGAATAAGATCTTGTCGATTCTGGATAACTTCACCACTCCTTCGGAAGAGGTGCCTAAATGGACGCCGCACGTAGTAGCGGAACGAGCAGCAATTGGTGGTCTGGGGCCTGTGGCGGTGGGGACGGCGGAGCAGGTGGCAGATGAGATGGAAAGATGGGTGAGGGAGGCAGATGTTGATGGGTTTAATGTCGCGCATGTGACGACGCCTGGGACGTTTGAAGAGGTGGTGGATTTATTGGTGCCGGAGTTGAAGAGACGGGGGCTGTATCCGGAGCAAGAATCTGAGGGAGCGGAGGCATGGACGGCCAGAGAAAAGGTGTATGGAAGGGGACAGAAGCAGTTGAGAGCGGATCATGTGGGGAGAAAGTATGATTGGGATGTGTATGTGGAGGAGGAGCCTTATAAGGCTGAGGAGGAGGCAAAGGAGGAAAATGCAGAGGCATAAACGTGAAGAACTGGGCGGGATAGTGTATTTGCTGCTTAGCTGAGCCTCTAGCTGAGGGTGTCCTTGACCATGGGAATCAACGCCTCGTTGACATAACTCGGACTCCTCCACGTACTCCAATCATGGGTCAGCAGCCCCCATCCCTCGTCGTAATCCTGCGTGCCAGACCGGATGTAATACGACCCCGCCAGTACCCAGATAAACCAGCCAGCCTTCTGGGCGGGCAAATAGCTTGCCAGACAGCTAGCGTACGTCCCCTTCCACGTACTCGCATCCATCTGGAACCCAAACTCGGTCAACATCACGGGGAATTGGTTCACCGCAGAGCTCGTCAACGCCTCGAATCCATTGTTGTACAAGTTGTTTTGCAGATTGTTGCAGCTGTTGGCACTCGTTTCATAGTTGTGCAGTTCGAGGACGAGTTTGTTGGCGTAGCTGGGAAAGTCGTTGAAGCTGAACTTGCCGGTTCCCGGGGTCAAGGCGGTGCCCCGGACGACAGGCGTCAGGAAAGTATCGAAGGACAGGCCGGACAAGAAGATGAGAAGGTCGGGATTCGAGGAGTGCACGGCTTCGGCGCCCTGCTTCATGTATGTGTACCATGTTTGCCAGTTGTATGTGGATTTGGCTGCCCCAGAGGTAGGCTCGCGCGGTTCATTGCGGAGGCCGATGGACATGAGGGATGTCCATTGTTTGCCCTGGGAATCACGACGGTGTCAATGGGAAGCAGGATGACAGGGAAAAGGGGGGATTCAAGGGAGACATACATGGTTAGCCATATAAGCAAGACCTCTCGTCCAGTTGGCTGCGGAAAAGTACGTGTCTCCCCACCAGCTGTTTCCATCGTCAGTCGAGCAGCACCACATGCCCTTGGAGATATGGTTATCCAAATGGACAAAGATGTGCTGCTTTGCGCACTCGGCCGCTACGGCGTCAAACACCTGCAGCCTGGTAGTACTCGCCGTGAACTGGGGGTTCTTGGCTAAGACCTGGTTGAGCAGCTTGGGGCCATTGGTCGACCCGAGAGCCTGAGTGAAGGCCTTTTGGAGGGTAATATCCTTCGCTCCGTTGGAGTAGATCTCGTCGACCATTTGAATGGCGAAAGTTAGACGGATGGCGTTCATGCCAAGGCTCTTGATCTTGGACACGATGGTCTCAATGGATTGGTACTGCAGACCCTCGGGGATCATGACATCGGCTGCTCCAGGCCAGTTGACGCCGACGTAGGTCAGGTTAGTACCAGAGGCATCGCGGATCCAACGGCCGGAGGTTACAAGGGGGCCGTTGGGCCATGGGGCGCGAGTGTCGAGGGCATCGCCGTGAGGTTGGTTAGTTGGAGCGGCGACAGAGAAGCCGACGAGGCCAGCGACAATGGTGACGAGCCTCATGTTGAGCAGTGGTGATGATACATTGTCAAGTGTACATCGGTCAACATGTCTGGGATTTCTCGGTGTTTATATCTTGTATTGAACCCGGACATGGGCCTATATGTGCGAAAGTAAACCGTGATATATAGATGCCGCATTTTGCCAGTCAGGATTTGGCCAGAATGGTACTCTGGAGATGGGCGGGGAAAGCATGCCGAGAGGGTGAATATTCCACCTATGAGGCCGAGACATGGTCCGTTGAGGTAACATCCAAGTGTAGAATGAAGCAACGATCACATGTTGATATGGTCCAGGAAAAAAAATGTGGTAGAGTGCCCGGCTCAAGGTTGTTGAAGTTCATGGGTGAGAAGACTGTGACGAAGACTCGGCTCCGCGATCCCCGCATTCACTCACACGTATTTAGCTTCGGGGACTTGACGTTTGCGGGTTCGTTTGTCTGGTCTGTTGTCTGGTTTCCATCCAATGTTGTAATGGAAATACTCGATACTGACGCGGTCTTTCTTTTGTCTCTTCACAATCAGTGGGGAGTCGATGCTTTGCTCGATGGAGGCGATGGTCATGTTTGAAGATCCATGTTGGATGTGGAGGAAAATTTTCGGCAGCAATTGGATTGGGCATATCACACAGGCAGCTGCGGTCGTCGACTTCGTCGTCAGGTTGAAGATGTGATGGGGTGTTGGAGGCGATGAAGAGAGCCGAGGTGTGACGAATTGTGCGGGCAGGCAACGAATTGTCGGGCAAAGACCATTACAGCATGCCAAGCCCCCGTTTGTGGATGCTCAAGGGAGGCAGCCACTGCTCAGCCACAGGAATGACATCAACTTCCACGTCAGATGCCACCCCACCAGTTCTCCCGTCGTCTGATAAGGTGTGAGACTACAGAGGGGCTTGAGGGGAGCTGTGCACTAACAATTATCACCAACAAACGCCGGCCAGCGGATTATGGCCATGGACCTTGATGGACAGCAACAGAATCCATCCATCACGAGAACAACAGAAGCATACGTAGGTAGATCTCTACAAAGCACGAGAGCTTACGAATTCGGGGAATTCGATCTTGAAGGAGAAATCAAACAGGAAATTCAATCTGTAATTTGTTTGTTTGTTGAACCATTCCGCATCCCGTCCTAGTGGAAAACAGTCTAAGCCCCCTTCTGTATTCCCGACCCCGCAACAACTGACAGCATCAATCCACCCGACTGATCTTCTTATAACAACAACAACAACAACAACACCATCTCTCCTCCATTGACCTCAACCATATTCACGGTTCCCTTGATCTACACTTGGACCTACAGCGACACACATAAACCATGAGCGGCAACGACGAAAAACGAAAGCTGGAAGCCCAGTACTTCCCTCCTCCCCCTCCCGGCCCTCCTCCCGGCCAAGCTCCCTCTTCCTCTACCTCTACAGCCCAGGGCCAACAACCTCGCCATTCCGACGAGGTGCCCATTCCCGACTACAACCCATCGCATCCCCAATATGCGCCTCCACCAAATGCTACCAAGGAAGACATCTACGGCGCTACCCCGACCGACGAACACCCGCCCCCGTTCCCTCCCAGGCCTACCTCGTCTGGCAAGGCTGGAGACGAAAAGGTCAAGCTCTCATGGGGCCAGAAGCTCGCAGGATGGGGAACCAAGGCCGCCGCTCCCATCAACGCCCTAGCCAACAAGATGGGCTCTGAGGCTTTCTTGCCAGGCCCCATGGATAAGGAGGTTGAGAAGGCCGCCCGTATCCTGAGGAGCTTCTGCAGTATGTCAACCTTCCCGCCGCTTCTATGGTAGTCATCAACCGCTAACCATGTCATTTCACTTCCAGAGGACGGCATCTACAGCGACGCAGCTCCCACCACTGCCCCTCCCCAAACCACCTTCCCCGTCGCCAACAAGGTTGAGCCTACCGCCGCCGAAACCGCCTCCAAGCCTCCCGTCGAAACACAGCCCGTTGATGCTGCCACCGCCAAGAAAAAGTCGCGTGTTCTCCTCACCATTCCTTCCAAGGTCATTGCCAAGGCCCAAGGCTTGGCCATCTTCACCACCGTTCGCGCCGGCTTCCAAGTCACGGGCGCCAGCGGCTCCGGCGTCCTAATCGCCCGCCTCCCCGACGGCAGCTGGTCCCCTCCGTCCGGCATCCACGTCCACAGCATCGGCGCCGGTTTCGTCGTCGGTCTGGACATCTACGACTGCGTGGTTGTCATCAACTCCAAGGAGGCCCTCGAGGCTTTCACCCGCACCCGTCTCAGTCTGGGTAGCGACCTGGCTGTTACCGCCGGGCCATGGGGCGCCGGTGGTGCTTTGGACTGGGGCGTGCCACAGGGGCAGAAGACGGATAAGGGCAAGGGCAAGGATGGTAAGCCTTCGTCGCGGCCAACAACGGCCGATGGCAAGCCCATCCTTTCCTCGGATAACACCCAGTTCACCAGCCCGCCTGTTGATCCCGACTTCGACCCGGATCACCCAGAGGAGGCCGGCAAGCAAGTCAACAAGAACCGCAAGCCCAGCCCATTCGTCGAGGCCGTCAAGAAGCCCGTCTACAGCTACGTCAAGTCGCGCGGCTTTTACGCCGGCGTGCAAGTCGATGGAACCGTCGTCACCGAACGCAAGGATGCCAACGCCGCCTTCTACGGCAGGCCATTCACTGTTCAGCAGATCCTCAAGGGCGAAGTTTCCGCTCCTCCCGTCGTCAACGGTCTTCGTGAGGTTCTAAAGGGTGCCGAGGGGTGGAGGGGTCAGCAGCAGGGTGCGGGACAGCAGCAACAGCAGCAGACGGTACACATGCCTCAGGGACATATCCCGCAGCATCATGTCCAGCCTGTCCCTGCTCAGCAGCCGTACCCCAGTCAGGGACAGCAGCCCTACCAACCTCAGCTTCTGTCTGAGCCGTCTCCCGAGGGCTACTACGCTCCTGGCAAGCCTCCCAGTGGCCCAGCTGGTGGTCCCGCCCCAGCGCCCGCGGGAACAGGAGGCTACCTCTACAACCCCCAGCTCCTCTCCGAGCAGCCACATCAAGGCCAGGGATATTCCGGCGGTGCCCACGGTCACTTCTCCCCGCTGAACCAGCAGCCAACAGACGCTTACCGTGCCCCTCCTCCTCCTGCCTCTACATACACAGGAGGTAGCCCGGCCGAGGTTAGCGGGATGACCTCCGGTGTCCGCGGTCTTGACCTTAACTCGGCTGGCCCATCCACGGAAACCGCCGGAGTGGCACCGCCCGCTCCTGGGCCGCAAGCATCAGATGCCGCACGCGCAAAGGCCGCCGAGGCCGCTGCCGAGGCCGCCCACGCTCATGGTTCCGAGCCGCCCCCGCCTTCGTATGAGGAGTTTGGGTCGTCTTCGTCAACTGCCCCTGTCGTGCCTGGGTACCCTGGGCATCCGGCTCATACTCCTCAGACAGATGGAGTGACGGAGGAATTGCCGCCTGCGTATGTCGAAGATGGAGTGTACAGGCCTGAGGTGGGGGATCATAAGCGTCAGCAGTAGAGCAATCATTGGCTGGTCAGTGTGCGCTATGGCCGCAGTACTATGAAACTTTCTCCTCTGGGTTGCTTTGGTCTTTCTGGACCTTCCTTTTTGCGTTTTATACGAGTTACCCCTGTACCTTGAGTTAGTCCTTATATGTAATGGATGGGGCTATTCTGCATTTACTGCCTGTCTTTAGCTAGCTTGCTTTTTTCGCCGTCAATTAAAGTTTCGATACCCTTCACTTCGTACTAGCCCACGTTCTTGTCTATCATGCCATCAGTTTTGCGATAATATCTTATATGAAGTCCCATTTTCCGCTAAGTCAGGTTGATCTAACAATTCAGACTTCCTCTAAATCAGTAATCCATTTGTTCCCTTCCAAATTCAATCGATCAACGAGCTGTGATTAAAGATCACTGCGCGATCATATCGCAAGGTGCAAGAGTTCTCGAAAAGTGAAGCTGTTTACTCGCAGGCGTGAGATTTGACTTCTTCTTGCTTGATGAAGTTTCATTACTGCAAAAGACGGATGGAAGGGAGGTAACGTTAGGCACTGACACCGTCCTACTCCCTAGAGTCTTCGAAGACGGTAACAGTGGCTGTGAGGAGCTTCTTTGTTGCTGCAAAAGGATCAAGCCACAGATCTTTCCCCCCTTCAAAATCTAAATGCGATAAGCGGACAACAAAGCGGAAGGCCGAAAAGGCTCTAGGAAGATCGACTTCCCTCAAAGAAGGTTCATATACAAGACAAAGAACCCAATGCACCAGGTACTGACATTGAACTGACAAGAATTTCCACCTGGACAACAGACGACACATCTTCCTGACTCTTTCCCATTTGCTTCATACCTACCTACCTCTATCCAAACCTTCACTTCCTCGAGACCAGACGTGTGCCCTACCTTCACTTTATCCTCTTTTATAACACCTTGTTCCTCGGGCATTGTCCTATATACCAACATGCTACAACTTACCTCTACGGTACCTGATAAGTAAACCACCACTTGACAACATATCATCATCATCAACATCCCATACAGCCAAAAGTCATGGCCAGATCCGACTTTCCCGACTTTTCCTCTCTCTCCTCCTCTGGTGTCCCGCCGCTGCGACCTCCACCACCACCACCACCAACTCCAAGCCCAACAAGACGACGACGTCACCGAAAAAATGGGAAAGGCAAACTCCTTTCAGCTGATGAACGGTTAAGGACGGGTTATGGTCCACCAAAGCCAACGACTACATGTACTACAACCCACGCGCTCAACGCCGCTCTTACGTGTAGTCCAAGTCCAAGTCCAAGTCCAAAGGCGACCACCACCACTGCGAGCTCAACCACCACTTTGCCTGCGGAAGCAAAAGCGCCCCTGGTCCATACCTCTAGTACCTCTAACCAAGCAGCGACGACCCGAATTCAAATTCGCCAAGATGACATGGAGAACAAGTTTGATCGGACAGGTCTCTTCAAAGCTACTTCTAGGGCGCAGAAATCGCTACATCTAGTCCATGTCGTGGATGACGACGAAGTTGCATCAGATCCCCCTCGGTCTACAAACGTGAAACCCACGCTCAACGTATTCGCTGTGAAAATAAAGAAGGCAGCGCCAACCAACAAAGCAAGCAATTTGAAGTCTGCTGCTGCTGCTGCAAACAAACAAAGACCTACTAAAGCACCTGCGATAAAAGATCCGTCCTATCGCCCCTTGAAAGGAACAAACGAATGGTCATCCGAGTCCACCGATGAAGATTTGGACGTGGGCTTTGTCCCGGGTGATCTCCCTGTCTTTCGACAAGTCAAGGGGCAGCAGAAACATGAACAATTCTCTCCCGTTAGTGGTATCACTAGAGGTACCTCTAGTGTGTCGCCAGCACGACCAACACAACAACCAACACGACCACCGCCGCCGCCACCGATTCCAAATCGACTCAAGCGCAAGCGCATAGATGATCCGACTTATCGGCCTTCTAAGAACAGCGAGGGATCTACTTCCGATGACAATGATGCTGAGGAAGATGACGAATCTGACGAAGGCATCAAAGCGTTGAAAAGGGTGGTCAAGGATAGTACTGCAAAGGTCAAGAAGGTCAGGTGCAAGGTGGCTGAGAGACAACAGGAGAACATGAATGTTTCGGAGGAAGAAAAGGGGAGCCAATTGGTGCTGAAAGAAATCGTCGATGATGATGATGAAAAGCGAAACCCGTTCATGAAGAAGAAGAAGAACCGAAAGTCCGTTTTGGATCCGTCTTATAAGCCACCCAAAGACGAAGAAGATGACAGTGAGGAATACAGTGACGAGTATACCTCTACTGATGGCTGGAACAGACAACGAAGAAAAAGGGTTCGCGTGCCAGAGGGTGGCGACGGTCCGGAGGAAAAATATAATGACTACAATGGCAACGTCAGCCTCAACGATAATCCCACGAACGACGTGGTTCCTACTACGAAGCAAATCCTTCCTTGCCAAGCACGTCCCTGTCTGCCTCCCAAGTTCGGCAGGCGGAAGGTGAACCGTCTTTCCAAGCCTCCCCGCATCTACGATCCCTCCTACAAGCCGGGGACCACCTCGTCGGACGATGATAGCAACGGCATCGATTCGAGTTGGAGCTCCACGGGAGAGGGCAAAGACAGGAAGAAGAAAAAACGAAAAAGATTATACCAGCCAAAGAATGCACCCGAGAAGAAAAACCAGACGGTCAGCAACCTGCAGCAAGAGGTCATAAGATTGATGCTAGAAGAAACAAAACCAAAACCCGCCTACGCAATGCCCATGACCAAAAAGCGAAAACGCCCTCGTCTCATCAGACGAAACACCAGCGACCAATCCTTTTGCCCGTCGGACACTCCTAGTGACCAGTACAGCGATGAATGGTACAGTTCTGAGTACTCCTCTGAGCTGGACGTCAAGAACAAGAAGAGAAAGAGGGGGACGAAAAAGAAAGACCAGTGGAATGTGAACCGAGTTGCCTCCGGATTGGGACCTGTGACTGGGAAGGTCTTGGACTTGGATTGTGGAAGGCCAATTGAAGCAAGCGAAGAGGAAACGAGAGATAGTGTGAAACCAGAAAAGCACGAATCAACAAGCAGGGAGAACATGGCAACAAGAAGAATTGGGACCATCGACGCCATTGATGGCACATACGAGCCATCTAGGGACTCTCCGTCATCCGAGTCTGAGTTTGCAGCTATGCCAGACTTGGATCGCTCCGCCTTCAGCATAGAGATTAGCAACGACAACGAAAAGCCTGAGCCGATATTCGAGCCGGAGAAAGAAGTTATTCTACCACCCATGGATATAAAAAGGGAAACACCGCAGCTCCACACCGGGAACGAACCTCTTTCCAATATCAGAACTGCTTTCTACCCCCTTTGTCATGGTCGTTACTCACCTTGGCCGCCAGCGCGCGGCACGGTATACTGCCAGCCTTGCTTCCGGGAGCAAGTGATAGTTCGGGGCTTACTGATTCGGCGGGGGATAAGCGAGACTTTGAGGTTGCTGAAAGTGTTGTTGGGTGGCGGGTCTGACTTCGGGAATGAACTGGATGAAGCTCTTGAGAAGATTCTGGGTGGTGTTGTTGTAACCGAGCAAACGAGTATGACACGTGTAGAAGACCACGACCAAAGCCAGGATTATGAGGACGAAAGAGAAGAAAGGGTTCAACGGGGACAAAACACTCGCACCAAGCCCATGCCCTCAGCACAGTCATCCCTTGCCGAACTGCCCGAAGATGTCCGGACCCTCTTGGTGCTGAGGCGCCTTTCGGATGTTGTCAACAGCGGGAGCATGTCAACCTCGTCCGCAGCGCGCCCCTCCGGCTCCGATGTTTCCCTTAAAACGCCCGCTTCTTTGCACTTCCCGTCTGACGCCAACGCCGTCTCTCCGGACCATTGCTACCAACAGCAAGACCCGACCGGTCCGAGCCGCTACTCATCTCCGTTCGCTCCATGTCCTCCATTAACCCTGCGTGGCGGGACTCCCAACTGCGCCGCCACCAGTACCGGCATCAATGCGTCTTACTTCTCCCTCAAACCGCCTTCAACAAAAACTATTATTTCCCTTCCGGCTAAAAACCCACTGGACAACGCCATAAACATCCTACACGACGCCCTGGGCATCTCTACCTGGCAAGCTCGTCGATTATGGGATCAGTATGAAGGCTCGGGTATATGGGACCTAGCGCAGGTGGATTCGCTTGTCAAAAAATCCCATGCGGAATTCGTAAACGAGCATCAGGCCGCGAAGGAGCTCCCATGGGCCGAGGGAAAAGAATCGAGTTTAGAGAGGGGAATGGGGAAGGATGAAAATGATCAGGGTGCTATGTTGGGGTTGGAGGGTCTGGCTCGATTGGAAGAGGAAATCATGACCGCCTTGGCAGAAAAGGGGAGCCGAGAAGAGGAAAGCCAGGGTCGAAAACGACAGAGTGATGGTGGTGGGATTAGTATTATAACTGGAGCGACACGCAGCATCATCGTTGGGGCTGTGACGAGGAGGAAGCAATCTCATGATGATGATGTTGATGATGACTGCAGGTTGGATTGGGGCCATGCTCCAAATCCAAACCAGAAATGCAAACTGACCAAACCCATCGACTTATTCAACCCCACGAGGCAGAAGGCACAGCCAGTTCCACCACAGCGACCAAGAGAGCAGCTGAGGGTGATTCCTTGCCATTCCTGCTCTAGGTTCAATACTGTCAACCATAGCAGTTGCGCTACCGTAAGACGCAACGACTACATTGCGATGGGCGATAGACCATGGGTAAAAACACTGCAATGGACTCTCGACATCAACGAGTCAGAAGCGGCCAAGATGACGCTCAATGGCTTGTTGGACTTAATCAGCCGGAGTGGAAAAGCAGCCCACGTGAAGAGCGCCGGGTGGGAGTTCGTGGTGTACCGCCCTGGCGACCATAATGATGCGGAGATTCGGATTGTTTTCCTGGATGTTGAGCCTGGGTTGGATCTTCACTTGTAGGTGCAATGGAGATCCCAATGACATGTGCAGGTATGGCACAAGGGGTAGATCGTAGGCCTCTTGGATCAATACATACTTTGTAGTCTGTTGTGGCATAATCGAATCGAACTGGCCAGCTCAAAACGAGCACTTGCTCACTGGTGTGGATTGATGGTGAGGGTACATACGCCTGAAGACACTTTAGAACACGTCCAAATCGCGGCATGGACGTGAAAAGCTCCCATCAGCCAGACTCAACCATGCAGGCGCCCGAAACATACATGGCTTCCGTCGTTTGACAAGCGCTGGACGCCGACGGGAGCAGACATGAAGATCCAGATCCGAAACAGTCGTTATCAGTGGCTTGGCAGCACAATGGTGTTGGATATGCCGCTATCCCGGAAACTGGCGAGTTTGGGTGTGATTCGGAGATGAGGCTGTGACTTGTAGGTAGTCTGTCGACCACCACACGACGAGAACGTGAGAGGTGGCGATTATTGTATCGCACGCGACAGGTGGTATACGGTTCGTTGGATGTGATGTTCTTGAAAGAAACTACAGGATACTACAGTTGATTGTACACTAGAACACGCGTCAGCTGCGCTGGGATTTGGGCATGATTGATGAAAAGGGGTTGTTGGTCGTCCTCTTGTACTACCCTCCAGCGCCTTATTCGTGATGAATGTTTAATTCTCCGCTTGAGTGAAACGGAGTCTGGGGACCGGAGGCGACGTCCTCTGGAACGCCTTGTAACTAACGGAGGGCAATCATAACCATTCGAAACAGAAGGTCCTCCACTGTGCGGTATTATTGACCAGTGATATGCGGGTCGATCAGGGGCTTCCTTGGCCTGGGTAGGATTCCCGAATCAGGGAATTGCAATGCAGTATTCCAATGATAGCACGACGAAGAGTTGACCTTAACGATCTCCGCTGAGAAGATGGTGTAGCCAGTGTATGTGGGTGGTAGTGTACCGATTGCTAGCAATGCTCATGGTCGTCAAACTGTACTGTAACGAGACACAAAGAAACAACCTGAAGGTGGGTGACCTGGGAAGCGTGTGACGGTAAGCGGATAGGCCGATTGATTGATGACTTGATGAAAAGGGTGCGCGGGCCTGGACTCCTTCGGTGCGACTTTTGGGGTCTTGGACGGATGCGTTGGTAAAAAGACGGAAATTGGATGGCCGTTGGGCGACCAGGGCCGTCGTCGTTTGTTCGGGGAAACGGGGGGGACATTGGGAGGGGAGCCGCGGGAAGGTAAGGTAATCAGGACAGGGAATGAAAGCTTGATGTTCTTGGCGATGTTAGCACATTCTGGCAACAAACACCCATTGAGTGTAGTGTAGATCCTATATCGCGTCAATGTCGAGTCGCCGAGATAGTGTAGTTGGAAAAGCAAGGCGACGACGACAAGGCGAATCGTCAGACAAAAAGTGCCGGGCTCGTGTGATCAGCAGCAGCCAATGCCTCAACAAGGGGAGGATATGGCTTCGTGGAGGGATTGGATTGTCGACGGAGAGCGAAGTTGGAGGTTGGAAGTTGGCAGCGTGATCCAGGCCAAATCAAGTGATCATCCGTTGGATTTGCGCAATAAAATCAGGATTGGGGAGAGAATGGAAACTGAAAGATGTGCGGTTGACAGTTCGTGTCCAGCGGAACGGTGGGAGATACGAGGGAACGTCGGACGCTGTGCGGCACAGCTGTCACTGCAGTCAGTGCAGGTGATGGCGCGTCCCCTCTGCTGCCTGCATTGAATGTGCAGTGGCTTCAGCTGGACGAAGAGCTGAGATTCCATTCAAAGTCTCGCTGTGATTGAAGACAATAACTTCACGAGTTCTTCTACTTTGCGAATGATGTCGTGCCCCAAATCTCTCCCAAAAGGCAAACGAGGCAGCAAATAAACAATGGCTCGGCACTGGCACCCGGACATTTCTTCCGTGGGAGGGAACAAAATATTTAAAAAAAAAAAAAAAAAAAAAAAAAAAAAAAAAAAAAAAAAAAAAAAAAAAAAAAACCACGCCATGTCGATCTGCACAGGCTGTACAGTAGAGGTAAGAACGTAGGTACTGTTGCGTAAATTCCGTCGTTCTGTCTCGAGATGGCAGATGGAGAGGGACGCGCCATCCGTCGGCACTGCACTGCAGCGGCGTACGCGGCAGTGGGGGTTCAGTGACAAGGGCCGGGGTTCTTCACAGAGAAGCGGTGGCGCAGGGGCACGGTGGGCTCAGAGTCGGGCTCCACCCTCTTTCACCATTCGGGCCAATTAGAGCGCTGATGAGGCTCCGTTCACGAACGTCACTGCGTTCCACGTCCGTCGAGTCGAGTGGTCGTCCCCGATCACCGTTCTTTCTCCTGCAGTGTCGGTGGTCCCTATCTCCATCCTTATCACAACATGGAATTCCAACTTGTCGATCCAATCCGGCGGTTGGTCACCAAAATTCCAACACGCTGAGAGAATACCTCTCGGTGCAGTGAATTGTGTCTGAAAGTGAACATTGGTAAATACCCCTGAAGTGAGTGGTAACATGTCTGGGTACTTGGTCACCTTTATTGATACCTCGATGCTCGACACGAATGGAGAGAACGTGAAGAATTCGGGCGACTAGATTGGCCAAAAGTGCGACTCGAGTGGAGCCTCTGATCCAGGACTTGGACAACATAACGCAAACCAGTGCTGCGTTGCTCGCTTCACAGCTTCTGTGTTCATGTCTACCTATCTTCCTGTCCCATGCAAGATCGGATTACTATCTTGTAGTATCTGCAGTGTCTGCTGTGTAGCATGTATACACTTATTGAACACTTTAGACGATCCAAACTATGTACGAGTTCAAGGAGATTCCTTGGGGTTGTGTTTTGACAGGGAACACAAGCCAGGCACGGTCAGATGAACAGACGCAGGCGAACCGTGGGATCCAGTTCACTTCAAGTTGTTCCGTCACTTTACCAGATCGAGCCGACAGCCAAACAAACACACGGCTGCTTTGGGTTCTGGATTTGGCTCAAAATTTGAAACCCGAAGCGGTCACTGCAGATGCAGAGATATACCTATGTATGTAGGTCCCAAAAGCAAAAAAAAGACAAGACAGCCGCTCAAACATCACATTATGTACATACATCTGCAGCGGTGCACAACGAATGCCGTGCTGCTTATCAGATCATGCCAGGCATTGACTCGGGAAATCGCACCGTGACATTTTCATTTCGATTCGAATCATCGTCAACAACAAACCCCCAATGCCCGCCCAGCCCTACACCTAGTACATACTTCCACTTACTAGTGTTTTCATTCCCCTGAAGCCTGCAGTGGTGCTGTGAACAAAACTAAAAGAAAGGAAAACAAATCCATAATGGCACGGACCGCCCGACAGAATCGATGGCAGCCAAGATTAATCAAGCTCACTGCACTGCACTGCAGGTTCATTCCTGCCCTGGCAGTCCCCACTCCCCACTGCACGACCGCATCCACCCGACCCAGGTACGTCCCCACTCCTTCCTTCCATTTCCACCACCACCTCCGGCTCTTCCCCATGGCTCCCCCACCAGTCCCCCTCGACAATCTCATGTTTGATCTTTTGCGGAATGGTGCAAATCTAAACTGTTTCGGGAAATATCCCAGACAGAATGGGCATGGATGGACATTTCTGTGACACAAGGGAAAGGGTTTCCTCTTCAGTTCTCATCTTCTTCCGACGACTTTTCCAGTTTACTCCCTTTTTTTTTTGGGTCTGTCAGTCCCCAGTCCTCCACCACTTACACACTTACACTCGCTTGCCCCAACTTTTACTACTCTCTCCGTCCTCCTTTTTCCCTTCCTTCCTTCTTTCCTTCTCTGTCCTTCGTTTTCCTTCCGTCTCGTGCTTCAGTCCCCTCCTCCATCGTGCAACTCCGGTTCCTCTGCCACCAACGGAGCAGAAGCAGCACGCCGGATTCGTGCCACGGGGAAACAAGCAACCCGTCACCCGTACTCGATACAGGCCATTACTCTCGTTTCAGGGCCACCACCGAGATATACCGACGTGACCGCCCGCCGCCATCGCTCGCCACCAGAGCTAGACAGTCTCGGGCCAAATCCCATTTCCCTCGCTATTCCTCCTCGAGACGAGACGAGACGAGACACGACTTAGGGAACCCTCTCTGTTCACCTAGTTCGTTGCGTCTTCCGCAACACGCGGTCGATATCACCATATCATCCACATACACAAGACACACATGTCCAAAATGGGGGCAACAATAATACCAGCACCCCACCGGTGCTTCAATATGCGGAACCCTCTCGCCAAGGCCCTCGTCCTTTTCATCTCAGTATCCCTTTTCGGCACTCTACTCCTACAGCAGAGCGGAGACATCGACGTCCGCGCAGCGTTCCTTAAGACGGCCAGTACTGCCAAGGACGCCGTATCCTCCTCTCAACGACCACTCGGTAGCAACCACCCACAATCAGGATGGGGAGGAGACAGTGTCCATACTCCGGTCGAGGTGACTGGAGACCACCAGCCAGATCATCCCAACGAGCTGGCCAACATCACCGCCAACGGGAACATGCACTGTGACTACGACATGGACCGCTTGAGGGAATGGAAGAAGAAATACAAGCTTCAAGACCGCTTCGAGTACACACGCCGCTACATCCAAGTCTCGCGCCAGCCCATCGCCCGCAAGTCTCTCACCAAGCTCGACCAGGACTTCCTTTCTGATCACGTCAAGGTTGTCGACGTCAACAAGCACTACCAGCCCGAGGCCTGCCCGGCTCCTCTCGTCGTGCCCGTCTCCCGCTCACCCTACCCCTCGACCGCCAACGCCTCCGACTTCATGTTTGGCGTCTCCACCACCTACAAGCGCTTCATCGACCCCAAGACCAACCCAACCAACGAGTGGAAGTACTGGCTTACCGACAACAACGGCTCATCCAACGGCGGCAAACTCTTGCTGATGCTCATGGGTGCCTCTGACTCGGAAATGGCCGACGTGCGCGAGCAGCTCACTTCGGTCGGCATCGATGTCGACGTCTACCGCTCTTCGCCCTCTGACGAAATGGCCGTCCGCTATCTGACTCTAGTCCCCACGCTGTACAACCACCCCCTCCGTTCCCAAAAGAAATGGCTTGTGACGTGCGACGACGACACCTTCTTCCCCTCGTTGCACGCTCTGATCGCCCAGTTCGAAACCTACGACCACACCAAGCCCAAGTACATTGGCACCTTCTCCGAAGACTCTAACAACGTCATGCGCCACGGAGAGCAAGCCTTTGGCGGCGCCGGCGTTTTCCTCTCGGTCCCACTTGCTGCCCTCGTCACTGAGAACTTTGCGCAGTGCAAGAGTCCGGAGAAGATCAAGGAAGCCAACACGGGCTGGGGACCCCAGGGTGATGTTTTGCTGAGGAAGTGCATCTACGAACACTCGCCCGTCCGCCTCACTCTTTTGGACTCGCTCTGGCAGCTGGACATGCTCGGTGATCCGTCTGGGTTCTACGAGTCCGGCATTCAACCCCTTTCTCTGCACCACTACCGCGGCGGAGGCTGGCATTCTGCTCTGCCCTTCCACTACACCAAGGTCTCCCACCTGTGTGGAGAGGAGTGCATGATGCAGCGCTTCATGACGGCCGACGACTTCGTCATTAGCAACGGGTTCTCGGTGGCGTATTACCCTGAGGGCACCGACGATTTGGATTTCGACCAGCTGGAGGGCACTTTCCGCTCCGCGCCGGATTATAAGGGCTGGAACTTGGATTTCAAGTGGGGACCGCAGCGCGCGGGGTTGGCCAAGACGGGGAGGAAGTTGAGCTGGGATTTGCAAGAGGCCAAGATTATCTGGGAGGATGACGAGCAGAAGGCTGCAGAGGGGGGAAACAAGAGAGACCAGAGTGATGAAGGGCAGAATGGATCTGCCCAGCAAGAGAAGAAGAAGAAGGGAGAGAGGAGAAAGGTCAAGGAAGTCAGACAGATTTATGTCAGGAAGCATGATGATTGGAGGTGGAAGCTGGCGGATGGCGCGACGCCAATGAGCCGGTTCGACGGCGTGGTGGAGCTTGTTTGGTTGCCTGATACGAAGGAGTAAGCATGTCGTAAGGATATCAAGAGGTGGCGGAAAAGTCGATTAACAATAGTATACCTTCTAATGATGATGATGCACAGGGATCGATAGAGATGGGAGATGGGTTTTGCACTGGGATCAGGATAGATCATTCCACAGGCAGAGGAAGGTACCTCTATTTAAACTTACCTGTTAAGATTCAATGTTTTATTACTTTTATTTGGACACAAGTTTCCATCTTTTATAACCAAAAGTTTCCGTCTTTTATAACCACAAGTTACTGTCTAGACGTATTGTCGGATTTGGGATCTATTCCGAAAGTCGGCTTTTTTTACTTTGTGCCCTCTTTTAACTTGTGCATGTCGTGTGACGGGATTCTTGGGTAGGCAAGGTCTTCTAACAGAAGCACACCCAGAACGCGACCAAATCTGTTAGTACAGTAACAATTCCGCCCAACCCCAATGCCTGGACCGACCCGAGCCAACCAGTGCAGACAGTGACGGGAATCCGACCTGACGACTCACCACCAGCTTGATACACCGACACCCAACAATGAGTACCTCTATACATGGCCGCTATCATGGTTACGCCAACGAACAGACATCATCGGATACGACGATTAGTTAAACTGCTGTGCCGGCTGATATCTCGCATGTTCATCGACGGTAGGTAAGGTAGAACTCGAGTTGGGGTTGTCCGTCCGTCCGTGCCGTCCGCGCCTCCGATCCACAACATGAACTGAATCCTCGGGACCGGAACTAGGTATTTCGGTAGGTATGTATGTATGCAGTGAGATGTCAGTACGGTGTACCAGAAAGCATAATCCTGTAAGGTAGGTAGGTAGGTATGATCGCCTCACTACCTCTAGGTAGGGAATGAGGGATGATGAGGTGAGAGGGGAGAGACTTATTGAACAGGGTATATTCCTCGACGAACTAGTTAGGTACGAACCGCAACCCTTCATCCTCGCCATCCAATGGATGATCCATGGTTGCTCTCCCATCACATACTGCGGCATCTGAAAGGACGGCCAGGCACGAACAACCTCAAGATTCCATCACCTACGACCATCCTACAGCAACTGCCTACCTCTAGGTACCTCTACTGGGCAAAACTCTCTCGTCCGCTTTCTTTCCCAGATCACACTAGCCTGTGAAATGGCCCCAGGTTAGTCGTCGGGTTGGTGACGGCCGGCAAATACCCTGGCGTTGTATCAATGTCTTTTCTTGCTCTTGGGAAGGTGAGGAGAAGGTCAGGGACATTGGGTCTTTCCTCCCGTCCTATCTCAGTTATTTGATCACCACAAGGTCAAGAAGCGAAACAAGAATGGACGAGGTTCCATCAGATTCAGTTGTATTTGTGCGAGCAAGTGCGTGTATGTCGAGTTCACGCACTCGCCTTCCATCTGCCGAGGCCAAAGCCACAGAAGACCTGACCTCCAGTTACAACTGAACATTTTTAGGTACCTATTCCCTCGATGTTCTCAACTGAAACCGGCACCGACAATCACCTGCCCCTGTTTATCGAGTCCTCCGACATACCTAAGAAAACCGTCTCCTTGTTGCCAACATCGATGTTACGACCAGCGCAACAATGTATTCCCTTGGTCCGCCGCACTAGGTAGGTAGTTGGGCAGTCCAACATGTCGACAGGTCGTTTGCAGCCAGGCACTTCCTTCGGCATCGCTTCGATCCCAAGCTCGAGACTCCGTCCCGCCCTCAATTTGAAGTGTATGAGGTCGGCCCACTGCAGTCCCAGCAGCAGGGTAGCTACTTCCCCTGCTCCTGCTCCTTCTGCTCCTCCTCCTACTCATGCCTCTGCCGATCCTCCTCTCCCCCTTTGTAATTGTAGCCGTCCGATGGCTTCCAGTCCTCAATTTGCTTAAGGTCCTTAGCTCGCCGATCAGTGCAGCGCGTGGAGTCAAAGCAGTCTTCTTGTCCGCAGTCCTTAAACCTCCGCCTTTCCACAGGGCACATCCAGCCCGCAACAGATACCTTGGTCTCGTCTCGCGCCAGGGTGACTTCCTTTACAATACACCTGTTGAAAGTGCTCCGTTAGCTGTTGTTCTTGTTGATGGGTATCAGGGGACTGGGACCAGCTGGGACTGGGACTAGGGAAGGTGAGGGAGGAGGAGGAAGTTGTGCATTGGGGGATGGGAGTCTTGGGAGGGTGAGAACTGGGAGTTTGAGATGCAATGGAGATTGCGACCTACATTTTGACGGTTGTATCGATGAGTGAGGTGAAGCTGAGTGTTGGTGTTGGGCTGGTGTGAGCTACTATGCTGGGCTTGTAGAGAGGACGGAAAGTTGTCGCTTTTGGCTTGGAATATTCTTTTGGAAGTTTGTGACACGACTGGAGTGTTCTGATTTTGTTTGGTTCTGATCGGATGATGAACACCTCGTCGGGAGGTCGATGATGGGCTCTTTATACATTTTCGACTGTTTTCAGATCATATGCTCCTGACCAGCGTCACGACCAGCCTCAAAGAAGCACGAGATATCGATCGGGTGGGCAGTTGGATGTTGGATCACAAGAATTCTGGGTTGGTTGTCGTCCTTGAGGAGAAGCCGCGCATGGTATGGTCATAGATGATCGAGCACAAAGATGTGTAAAAGAGTGGTAATATCGCCATCTTTACAACCAGACCTACAAACCGAAGCCGGTAGCGGTAAGGAGACTACGATTGAGCGGTATGATGTGGTGACTCGTTTATGATCATTGAGAGATGTTGGTCACCATGGCGGCGGGTGATGTTTTTCCACTTCTTCGGCACGTTCAGCATCCTCTATATTGATTTGGTGCCAACATCCCGTCTCTGACATAGCGGGAGACACATCAATTTCAAATTGGGCGTCTTGTAAATCCCAACATCCCACACGTGTAAATTACAGGCAAGGACTTGTAACGAGCCGCAGGAAGGGTGTTGAATGGCCTGGCGAATGCTTTGGCTGAATAAACCTTCCCGTCAACGATATCTTGAAGAACTGCTGTAGTCCTTTGTCGGCTTATACCTCCACATCAGTTGCGCTGACCAAACCAAGAACCGCTGCACCCCTCCAGTCCATTCAAGTCTCCCAGCCGTGTCCGACCCCCAAGATTTCTTGCTTCAAATAAGCCTCCATTAACTTGAACACCTAGACTAGATATCCTCTTTATTCAACTCGGCACCTCCATCATCCCCAGGGCAACCTTGTCTCTGTACCTCTGTCTATCAGCTCGATAGTCATCCGCCCCCC